TGCACACTATCCTGCAGATCCCCTCAGCCAAGGAGAGGCAGAAAGCCTTCTCAACCTGCTCCTCCCACATCACTGTGGTGTCTCTCTTCTATGGCAGCTGCATCTTCATGTATGTCCGGCCAGGCAAGGGTGGCCAGGGGGAGGACAAGAGCAAAATCGTTGCATTGCTCAACACCATAGTGACCCCGATGCTCAACCCCTTCATCTATACCCTGAGAAACAAACAGGTGAAGCAGGTGTTTAGAGAGCAAGTAAGCAAGCTCCTGTCATAAAGATGAGCCAGAACTGAGAGAGCAGAAAGCTGCCTCCTTGCCTGAACTTCTGCAAATGAAGCTCCTGTCCTGATACCTTGACTATCCCCTCATAGACAGTTCTTTGTCACATGTCTTAATCCACTAGTTTCTTACATGTATCACTTTTGGTACATTCAGTCTTGTTCAGGAATGACCGAAAACTCAGTATACCACTACTATGTGTGCTATGTCTTGATATTTCTGACCCTAGCCTGTATTTGAGTTTTTTAATCTTGTCTCATTTTAAATTATAATAAATTTAGCATTTCTTCTTTGCTAGAAACTTTTTATCAAAATTGACTTTAAAAAATTCTCAACAAGAATATATTTACAACAGACTTCAGAAATACTATATGTATGGGGTAATTAATAAGGTGGAATAGCCAAAAAATATGGAACGACAAAAAAAGTATCGGATATTACAGCACTAAGTCAAGAACTAACAAAAAGAAGAAGGAACTGGATAGCCTGGAAAGACACTGCAGTACATGTAAGGATGTAACAGATGATAAAAAATAGACTTTCTACTAAGTAAGGAAGGTCAATTCAATAAATGATGACAAGACCACTGGCTAACCACAATAGAAGCCTATTTTCCAAAAGTATTGGGACTAGTCCTCGATTGTCTATTTGGGTGTGGGGGGCAAGAGTTAAAGCAGAAGAACAATTTAAAATTGATACTTGCCTTAAATACTTATTCGAAATTAAAACCTATGAAGATATATTCATTCACTAATCTATGAATATCCTTTTCTTAGTGAATCAATTTGATGGTTATTATAGTCTTTTTTGGTTAAACCATATTCATAATGATGTTTATAATTTTTAGGATTTGTTTCAGTAGCACAAAAATTTTAAAGATGCTTGAGAAACTGTGAGCAAAATTCTAGGATTTTTTGCTCTTTGTTTTTCTGTTTATTTGCCAAACATCACAGTTCTCACACACACCTAGCTCAAGAAAAATTTTTCACTCCCTACCTTTATGGAATCTATTGAAAGGAATCAATCTAGTTTTCATAGAAACAACTTTCTTTCTACACTCATATTTCATTGGTTTATTTGTATTTAGTTAAAATATATGATTACAATAACAAGTTCAATTAGCAAAGAGGTTTGGAAGCAACCAACCAATTCTTGGTATAAGTCAGCTAGTGGGGACAAAAGCGTACATGTACAGAAGCATACTAGTGACAAAGAATTACAGAAAATTATTAGAGATTATTACAAACAACTATACAACAAAAAATGTGAAAACCTATAGGAAACAGATAAAATTCTGGACACATACAAACCAGCAAGACAGAACCAAGAAGACATAGAAAGCCTGAACACATTAACAACAAGCAATGAGACTGAAGCAGTAATCAGCAGTCTCCCAACAAAGAAAAGCCGAAGACCACATGGCTTTACTGCTTAATTCTACCAAACCTTTAAAGAAGACTTAATGCCAATTATCTTCAAACTATTCCAAAAAATTAAAACAGAGGCTATTCTCCCAAACTCATTCTATAAGGCCAGCATTACCCTAATACAAAGACCAGAAAAAGATACAACAAAAAAAGAAAACTGTAGGCTAATACCCTTAATGAACATAGACACAAAAATCCTCAACAAAATATTAGCAAACAGAATTTAGCAACACATCAAAAAAATTATACACCATGATTAAGTGGGATTCATCCCAGGGGTGCAAGTATGGTTCAACATACACAAATCAATAAATGTGATACACCACATCAACAAAATCAAGGACAAAGACCATATGATCATCTCAGTAGATGCAGAAAAAGCATTTGACAAAACCCAACATCTCTTTTTATTTTTTTTTAATCCCCACCTTTACAACTTTCTTTTGAATAATGTTTTGAACAGTTATTCTTTATTTTTTTTTTTTTTTTTTTTTTTGGACCAGTAAGGGGATCACAACCCTTGGCTTGGTGTCGTCCACACCACACTCAACCAGTGAGCGCACCAGCCATCGCTATATAGGATCCGAACCTGCGGCCTCGGCGCTATTAGCACCACACTCTCCCGAGTGAGCCATTGGGCCTGCCCTACTTATTTATTTTTATTAGTATATTCATTATTACAAATCATACTTATTCTTTATGCCCCTTACCCACTCTCCCTTCCCCTCCCCCCTCTAATAACCATAGAATCATTCTCTCCTTCTGATACATTAACAGTTTCTCTGTTGATTTATCACCTAGATGATCTGTCCACTGCTGAGAGAGGTTGTGTTCATGTCCCCACTATAATCATATAGCAGATGCTTCTTCTACTACTCTGGAATGTGCTTTGTGGAGAGAGATGTCCTCTTTTTTTATTTTTATTTTTTCAGCCTCAGCTGGCGACTCTCCTTCTGTCGATGAACTCGAGTGTCCAGCAGGCAACCTCCACAGTGGCTGTCACTACTGCTATGGTGACTTGCTGCTTTTGCAGCAGCCATGGCATTGCAGTGGCTATGGTGGACTACCTGTGTGGAAATAGTGGTTTTAGTGTGCTCTTTACATGATTGTGGGCAGGTTTGGCTTCCCCCAGCTCCTGCCTCAGGAACCCAAAGGGGTCCCCAGGTCAGTGGGGCCATGCCTGGTTTGGGGGTTGCCTTCCTCTGGCTCAAAGCCACAGGATCTTGGGGGGCCCACCATCCCTTCTTGATAAAGACTCAGCAAATTAGATACAAAAAGTGCTATACAT